GACAACCTTGCGGCCGCAGCTCCGATAAGCCGCCTCGCCAATGGAGTCACGGAACATGGTCCATTCATTTTAAATAAGTCAACAAACCAAAAACATTAACCTCACAATGAGCTATAAACAGAAAAAATAACTCAAGTTGTAAATGATGAGTAGTTAAATGTAAATATGTTTTTGAACCTTCTTACCGTAATACTCTGTTACCACAGGGATGAGACCACATTTTCCCGCGATGAATGAGTGAGTTGCATCCAGCGAGACAGCATCCACCTCATCCCTCTGGGTACAAAAAACAAAAAGATCAAAAAATAAAATAAAATAAACGATCCAGGTTACTGCAGCTTGTGTATGTTTCGTTGATCTGAACGACTTACCTTGATCTTCTCGATACAGTCACGCATCGAGGCAGCGCGGACGCACACCAGAGGGTCGGACTTTACGTTGAGAGCCCACTGCTCACACTTCTTCTGCTCGGCGTGGCTGATGCAGCACCAACGCACGACGCTGTCCTCCAGAGAGCTTCCTGCACAAGCCATAAAAGTCATTCTGAATATTTTCTTTATTTTTTAATGAAGATTCTTTAGCACCAAAAGCATAAGCACCTTCATGACCAAGACCTTTGAGAAGAGCAACATAGTCCAGCCCCATCACCTGACTGACGTCTGTGTCGTCGGCCACAACAACCAGCTTATCTGTCGCGTCTCTGAAGAGCAGGTCGCTCTCTCCAAAAGTTAATGAGTTGAAGATTTGGAAACGCTGTCTCTCTTTCCCTTGTCGACCAAACAGCAGCTAAAAAACAAACAAAAAAAATAGAATCTGTGAGATTCAAACTCAGCTGTGACTGTGAAGGCAATTCAAACTTGAGAGGAAAATTAGGGAGGGGGTGGGGAGTCATTTTTACCTGCACCGTTGTTACAAACTTGCGGACGACTTTACGAAAATTGTGCCTGGAGACCACTCCTGCTCCGGGACCACGGCCCAGATTGCAGCTCCTGAAGTGGATCAGAGGTGCTTGTGTTCCATCAGGACAAAGTAACCTGAACTGATCTTGATCACTGGCTGACAAATAGGTAAAAGTAAAAAGGTTAACATACCTCCCATACATAATTACTTTACGTGTATAAATCATTAAAGGGGCAATATTATGTGATTCTCAGGCATACATTTAAATTTTATACCATAATAAATGTAACTATGTCACCTTCAGTTGTTATTAAAATGCTGTTTTTTCATTTTTAAATAGAAAATAAACTTGACTTCTCATCATATCATTTTCTAAACACCTTGAAATTGGCCTCTGTCTCTTTAAGAACCTCCTTCTGTGTGTGTACTCCGTGATGAGGAAGCTCAGCTTGGAGACACAGCCCAGAAGAGGAGATGATCCCAAAAGGTGGTTCTAGTAAGGGTTGGGCATAATCATATCGTGTGTGATTAATAGTCAGAAAAACATTAATCGATTATTTTTTGGCACTTAACGATTAATACGATTAATGCCACCAGGCAGACTGACTGGTGCTCCTCTCCGCTTCAAATAGGACAAACATTTGAAAAATAAAGTTCTGTAATTTATTTATCTATCAACACAATTTAAAATTTGANAAATAAACATTTGAAATATATGAGTTTGTATGTAATGTATGAATATAATATACAAGTTTCACTTTTTAAATGGAATTACTGAAATAGATCTACTTTTTCATGATATTCTAATTTTATGACCAGCACCTGTATACGAGTTTGTATGTAATGTATGAATATAATATACAAGTTTCACTTTTTAAATGGAATTACTGAAATAAATCTACTTTTTCATGATATTCTAATTTTATGACCAGCACCTGTATATTTACTGAGAAAAATGGTGACGTGTTCAATACTTATTTTACCCGCTGTATATTCAGACAAAGCTGCTAGAAACATCTGAACAGTGGTGGGCACAGTTCCACTAAAGCACTAATTGGGAAACTAATTTTCTGATTAGTGCTTTAGGGCTTTTGCTAATTTCTTAATTCATTAGTGGATTAGCGCTTGTTAAATTTATGGGCTGAATTTATAAGCACTAATTGAGTTCTTTAATCAACATTGTCACCAGCTGAGGGTGAGAGCTGTCAGACGTGTTGGTCATGTGTGTCACTTACTAGATCAGTGGTTTTAAACTTTTTTTGCTTCTGGCCCACAGAATAACAGTTGCAGACACTTGTGACCCCATATATTACTTGTTTATGTATGCAAACTTTGCTAATAACTCTGTTAAACATGGGAATAATAAACCTAGTAACTATGATACTAATTTTTATTAATTTATGATTTAAAAAATTGCAATAATCATGATGAAAATATTCTATTGGAATTTTTGATGCATTTAAATTGATGTCTGGAAATCATCTGGGGACACTCACTTGATGTTTTGTGACCCACAAAGAGGTCCTGACCCCAACTTTGGGAACCACCAAACTAGATGAAATATTAACAATAATTAATATAACAATATCAACAATATTCTGCACACAGAAAATATTGTCTCATGTTGACTCTGAGGAATGTTCCATGGGTCAGCTGGGATTTTAGTGCTTTAGAATTAGGGAACCTAAATATTAAAGTTAGTGATTTAGGGTTAGTGCAACTAATCTTTAGATTAGTGCTGCCCACCACTGCATCTGAAATTTGTATTTTATTAGTTGAATCAACTTTGAATTATCCAGTCATAAACTGTGAGGAATCTGATGCAACTTTTCTAACTGCATTTCTTTTTTATTTTATTCTTACAGACAACAGAAACAAATCATCTCGTGTTCATGATAACCTTTTCCCTCACCTCTCAGCGCTAAAAATTGCTCATTTTAAAAAAGTTTGCTCACCTTGATTTTACTGACGCAGTCGGCCGTGCTGGACGCTCGTACGCACGAGAGTCTGGCGAAAGCCGCGACGGCAGCTGGCGGTAGCACTGCCACCAAAGCTTTGGCGAGCTCCGCGCACTTCCTCTGCTCCGGATCCGAGACTGTGCACCAGCGCACCTTCTTGGCTGCGAGTTTTAATGATCGGCACGAGGCAGCCATCAGTCAGTTTCAAGCATGTTTGTGCTTCAGGAAATGTTTGTGCATGCAAAGAAACTCGCGTCTACAGGAAACTTTTAAAAGGTTTAACAATCACTTGTTTTACTGAAAAAAGTCCTTAAAATGGGCAATAAAAATGTCAACATCAACAAAACAGTAAAAAAAAACTTTTTACATTACACCTAATCATCAACAGAAATTAACAATAATAAATACTTTTGAAACAAAACTCACCCCTGATGCAGCACACAAAAATGACAAACAGTAAAATCTGACAGAATCCTCTCATTTTTTAGGTTGCTGTGGATCCAAAGGTTCAGGTTAAAATGTCCCATGCAGTCTCTTTGAGTCCAAAACATCCGATTTTCTTGCACAGATTTACCTAAAATATCAGAGGCTGCAGCGCGTACGAAGGAGAAAACTTATTGCGTAAGGGCCAGTACTTTGGAAACAGCTAAGTCACTTTTTACACACATATGGAAAATGTTTAGCACCATCTGCCACAAGGAGGACCCCCTAGCCAACGTTTTACAAATGAAGTGCAAATGCAGCTTTAAAAAAAAGTTGGATTTCATGTTTGTAGATGTGATTAACCTTTTTAGAGTTTTTAAGATTAACATGTAGAAATAACCAGCTTTGTATGAATGCTAGGATTAAGAGTTGGAAAGGAAAAGCAGTTAGCTGCAGTTCAGCAAGCTTGATAAGAAAATGTTCCTCTTAGAAAACGTGACAGAGCTGTAACAGTCCCAAACATAACCAGGTGAGTGAGTGTTTTCCTGCCACATTGTAAACTCACAGCTACTGGTTTCCTTAGTTTTTTGCATTTGAGCGATGAGCTCCTGCGGTGTGGAGTGCAGAGTGTAACTGTCGGATTCTCTCAGTGTGAAGCAGCATCGTCGGTTTCAGCTTTTCCAGCTCAGAGGACAAACTGTTAATGCGCTCCTCCAGCTGTGAAACACAGAATCAGCTTTATTCGTTTATGGTGGATAGTAGTTTTGAGGTTTTTAAAATTCTTTAATTTAGATGAGACTTGGATGAAGACTCTGGTGTTGTCTGGCTGTACTGTTTGCAACATTTGTGTCATTTTTACTAACATGATCACTTATGTCTTTACCTCCTTCAGCTCTTCACAAACGGCAGTTTTTTCCATGTGTTCTTCCTGTGCGCTCGTCTGCAGCCACCTCTGCAACACCTCTCTCAGCTTTCGCCATGCCCTAAGCAAACAAACACAAACCTCAATCACTGACTACTTGTA